CTATCGAGCAAATTCGATAGCAGCGAATTGTGAACTCGCTGTAACGAGTAGAGAGTTTTTAGCTGTGGATAAAGGAATGAAACATTTTTCGATCACAGTCTCGATCGAGTCTATTTGACATCAAAAGCCATAATCTACTCTTGGATTTTATGCTTTTCAAAATGGTTACTTACTTTCGAAGATATATAAAAAAGAAATTCCATTTTCTTATGGTGAGAGTAACTAAAAAAAAAAATTTTTAAATCTCTTAAACGCCCTGGCAAAGGAGTAATTTATTTATTTATTTTATTTATTCAACTTATACAAGAAACTCAACTAAAACAAAATGGTAGTCGAGTTCAATTGCCTCTTAAAGTAAATCTTAAATTAATTAATGTTAAAACTTAGTAAAAGTACAATAAAACAAATAAGAAGGAAAAAAAAAAAAGAAAAAAAAAACATATATGCAAGCATGAATTGAGCCACATCCACAATCGGTACAGGACCAAATTGCAAGTAAACCCCTAAGCCATCGCAAACATGCATAAGCTTGGCAACCGATAATAGTTAACAACAATTAATTTTCGACCCATAATGACTTTTTAATGTTAAAAGTTAGTTCAAGTACGGCATAGGTGAATCGCGCGTATTAAGCAATGTTGCTTTAATGGACTTTAAAGAGTCCGTTAATGAGAATAAGTGATAGACGTCATTTAGGTTCTTGCATACAACTCTGAGCGGGTTAAACAGTTCGTAATTATATTTGCATTGACTAAGCTTTATCCAGATAAAGTGCCTAGAGAAGCGGTTAGGGACATTAAAGCCTATCTCACGAAGTAATGCGGGCGAGTCAATTATACCATTTATTAATTTGATTACGAAGGAAACCCCAAGAACAAATCTACGTTTCTCCAGTGACGGTAAGGATAACAGAAGCAACCTATCTTCATAGGGTGGAAGAGGGGCAATCGGGTCCCAACCCAAAATCCCAAGGGCAAACATCAAGAATTGCTTTTGAACAGATTCAGTTGAATCTACGTAGCATCTATATGAAGGAGACCACACAACAGAGGCATACTCAAGTATAGGTCTAACCAAACACATGTAAAGCCTTTTCGTAATGTAAGGATCATCAAGCTCTTTGGACTACCTCTTTATAAAACCAAGCGCGGACCTAGCTTTGCTTAACGAGAGCTCAATATGCAAATTGAAACGTAACTTATAATCAAATAGAACGCCTAAATCTGTGAATGAATCGACGTTCCCCAACTTGTGCGAATCAGTGAAATATTAAGTAACGACTTCCTTCTTGAGAAAGAAAGCTTCTTACATTTATTTAGATTTAGTTTCAGAAGATTCAAAAAGCACCATGCAACCAAATTATTCAAATCACTTTGAAGATGATGTGAATGCGATTCTACGGAAAAGGAAGAAAACAGTTTAACATCATCAGCATACATTAAGATCTCGCTGAATTTAATCACGGAGGGCAAATCATTGATGTATAAATTAACTAAAATGGGTCCTAAGGTATGCCAGACGTCACGGGGAATTCATCCGAGGTAATGAGGTTAAACAAAACCCTGAATAATCTACCATGCAGATAAGAGCTTAACCATTCCACTAAGAAGAAAGGTAAGCCAGAGACTTTGGGTTTAAAGATAAGTAGTCTGTAGTTAACCAAATCAAACGCTTTGCTAAAGTCAGTGTATATGACATCAGTGCGGGAGCCACTAGAAAAAGCCTTGAAAACATGAGAAGTGAACTCTAACAGATTGATGAACGTAGATCTACCCTTTCGAAAACCATGTTGGACAGGAGAAATATATGATTTCATGGAAAAGGCTATATGCTGAGCCATAATTCGCTCGAACAGTTTAGGCAAGACAGTCAACTTGGCAATGCCTCTGTAGTTCTCTACAAATTTTGTGAATAGGAATAAGGAAACAAATCTTCCAACACAAAGAGATAACACCTAAATTCAAGGACTTGTTAAAAATCTTTGAGATAACACCACATAGCTCGCCAGCACAAGATATAAATACACATGAGGGGATTCCATCAGGTCCAGGCGAACAATTATATTTTAGAGAGCTCAATCCTTCAAAAACGTCATTTTCAAAAATAACAAAGTTAGGAATTGAAACCAAATTAGAAATCGGGTTTGGATAGTTTGCTGATAAATCAAAATTAGCAGTTGAAAAATTCTGTCGGAAGTATTCCGCAAAGAGATTTGCGATTTTAAAATCATCCGACGACTTGGAGCCATTAAAAGACACATGCGAGGGATTTATGGAGATTTTTCTTTTGGAATTAACGAATTTAAAAAAGTATTTAGGATCAGCAAACAAGGAGGATTTAGCAAACTGAAGGTATCTTCAATAGTATTGGCGGTTGTGGGAGTTAAATTTATGCCTTGCCACTGAGTAAGCGAAACAGTCGAAAGAAGAACACCTTTCCGAAAATTTTTTGAAAAGCTTATTTTTCCTATTCTTGTAATATTTAACTGTTTTATTAAATCACGGTGGACACTTGCTTCGAGGACGGGACTGCTTGGCCGGAACGGATGCAGAAATAGCTTGATTTAATATATTGTAGAACGTCGACAGTGAGTTATCAATATTTCCCACTGAGAAATCAAGCACAATATGAGAAAAATTTTAGCATGGAAACATTGATTTTATGGAAATCATAAAATTTATATGAAAAATCGAATTGGGAACGTTGTAGAAGTTCAACGAACCAACATGCTTATAATGAAAGGAAATACCCAATGCTGGATGATATGGATCCTCAGGTAAATTAAACGGAAGTCAACGATTAACGCAAATCTCAGGAAAATTGGCAAAGCAAAGATCAAGCAATCTACCATTGCAATTAGGGGTACCATTGTATTGAACTAAATTATGATCAAATAATTCATTAAAGAACACAACGGTTCTACTAGATGTTGAGGTAGGAATCAAACAGCCAGAACTATCACTGTAACACCAAGTGACTTGAGGCAAATTGAAGTTACCCAACGCAATGACTATATCGGTAGGTTTAGATTGCTTGGCTACTTCACAAGTGAGGGCGGCCTGTTTCTTACATAGGGAGATATCCGAATTTAAGGGAATATAGGAGCAGGTCACATATAAATGATTATTAGGAAATTTCACTCGAATGGCGATAAACTCAATGTCGCGAGTAGTTGGAATTTCAAGTGGATAGCAGGGAACTGCCGAAGAAATGGCAACTAAAGCACCACCACCATTGCGATACAATCGATCGTTTCCGAAAACTTGAACTTGAAACGAATTATGGAAAAGTTCCGATTAATGTAGATCCGGCTTTAACCAAGTTTCAGTAAAGACCAAACAGGAAAACTCTGTGCTCACTGAATTTAGGAAAGTAGAACGAATTTTTGAATTTAGGCCCCTAACATTTTGATAAATGAGAGAAAATGCGCCTGAAGAAATATTTAGTTTTTTTGAAGGGGAAAGAGGTACTACATTAGCATTACAGGGTTGATCCCGAGGGATAAATTCCTTAATTAAGGATCCAACCGGTCACAATGGTTTATTTAACATCAAATCCATATTTTCATTCGGAACTAGAATTTTAAAGGATGAGATAGCTCTACATTGAGAAGGAGCCAATTTGAAAATACTAACGCGTTTTAAATTGACAGAAGGGGTTTTCGCTGTCAGATAACTTATTATGTTATCAACAGATGTATCTGGTGCCAGTCTTGACACAAATATTGCCTTTCTGGGAGGAACTGCCTTCAAGCATACGTCAACAGTACTAGATGCAGCAGGGTTCACGGATGGGGAGTTATGAGTTGGGGAAAATATAGAAGGGGTAACCACACTTGCACGAACAGCTTATGCGACGTGCTCATTTTGGCGACCGGCGTTCACAATCGAACAGCCAGGAGGAGAGAACGATTTACTATTATCATTATTAGTTTTAGGCGATGACGCCTGAGAAGATTGAGTGACATCAATGGGAGGAGATACGCTTGCCACTTCAGCATAGCTCAAGCCAGAAGGGCTTCCCGGCTTTTTTGTAACTTTTACCGACTGACTCAGCCGTAGCAGAAACGCTAACATTCTTTGTAGACTATAAGGAATCGCTTACTTGCACCGACGAAACGGACTTAGGAAAACTCA